AGCCATGGCTTTATCTTATCTGAACTCCAGTGGCAGCCACCGATTAATGTGCCTGAGAGAGGGTGTCTCTCCACTACAGCTAAAAAACCAAAGCTGGATCCCACCTGGAATGTATGTCCACAAAACGTTATCTATGTGCTAAGCAGTATATGAGAAACTGGGTGACAGCACCTGATGATGTCCACATAATACATACACGTTACCAAGGAATGGTGAGATTAGCAAAGAGGGCTTATTTGAAATGCACTTTAAAAATATTTCCCAGGTGTGCTACACATGTTCTCCAACTATAAGGATAACGTTAGTCTTTCAGCCATAAGCCTTTACCTATTTACCTAGGAAGAAAGCTTACTGAACTTTATTTTTGGGTAGATATATATCTCAATTGTGATACCAAGTGTTGGGAAGGAAAGTAGGATGTTACCGTTGTCAGCCCTTCAAGGCAGGCAAAGTCAAGAAACAGGAACAGTGGGGGTTTCAAGAATGAGCTTTATTGTTGTCGGATATAACAAGAGAATCTTGAAAGTTTCAGAGTTTCTTTCTACTACACCTTATACCAAACAATATCAAGGTGGGATTGTGCTGAGTTTCTTTCTCATGCTTTCTTCTTTCCCAGAACTCAGTAATGTTTTCTGAAACTCTTCCCTTAACAGTGTGTCCATTCCTGCCCCATTCCCAGGGCCTAGTGGGCTCATAAGCCCACTTGTCTTGTGAGGCACTCTTGATCCAGCAACACAGTGGCCAGATGTCAAAGCTGGGCTGTCTTCATTGATATATGGTCTCTGACAATGTAAGGAAGGGTCTTTGTTACACTTTCATATAACCAGGTTATTATTTAGAAATTTTCTGTTATGTGCTTTATCACATTCCTGCTTACAACATTTCTCTTTTTGCCACAATCAGGCAGGGATGCTGTGCTTTTAATAGCTATTTAGCAGAGATCATTTAATTAGAAGCAAAGTTCTAATCACGGAGTTTCAGTGTTAGAGAAAAGTATCTTGGTTGAATTTCTGTCTATTTAAAGCACAAGTTTTTCACATAAAATGAAAAGGTGATAAATGTAATAAATTGCTCATTTTAAACACTTCAAAATTTACCAAATGCAATTCCATTCAATATTTAGAAGGAAATCTACATTAACTCTACACATTTCACTACAGAGTAGTAGCATAACAATTCTTCCAAATAATTTGTTATTATTTATTTATGTTCTGGCTTCATGTTGGTTTTAATCTGACCTTTGAAGTAATTCTCTAGTGATGTTTTGCTGCTACATAAATCCTCATGATTTATAAAACTTTATTAATTTTAATGGGTAGCTAGGTTTCCATCAATATATTAGGCTCCATTATCTACCCTATCATCCCCACTCCCACCACTCCCCCCCCCCCAACCTTTTCAGGTTAGGCTGTTTCTCATTAAAAGCGATCAAAGAGAATATAACTTTCTGTAACCTAGGGCTACAGTATAAGATTTAGGCTGCAAACCTCTAGACAACCACTAGATGGAAGCAAAGAAATGTTTGTGTATCTCTTAGCTAACATTTAGTAGTCATCCAGAACTTTGCAGTTCTGTTCCACAACCTTACTTAATCATAAACACTGGTGACACTACTGTATACCTAGTCCTCTTATTTACTGGAAATGTTCCTGTGAATTTAAAATATTCAACAATAGTCAAATCATTCAATAGCAATGGAGAAAACTACACCTGTTGAATATCTGATCAAAAAGTCCCAAAACTCTTGTTAGGACACAATAGTAATACTGTAAAGTAGGTTAGCTTCTTCTTTTATGCCATTTACTGTATATATCTAGGGCTAGATATATACTGTATATATCTAGGGTAAATATTCCATTTATTCCAAATATTATTTGGAATATTTATTCCAAATATTTCATTTACTGTATATATCTAAGGCTACCAGATCTGGGCTGCAAAAATATGGATGGCCAGTAGATGGGACCAAACAGATAGAAAAAACTCCTCTAACTCCCTGCTGTCATCTCACAGTTGGCCCAAGTAACGGAGCCCAGGTCTGGTAGACATATTTATACTGCAGAGAGCAAGGCCTCCAGATAATAGCTGAGCTCAGCTTTCCTAGATATATTGGGCTGCAACTCCCTTCATCCTCCAGTGTATCTAAGGACAATGCTGGTTAGAGGTGGTATGCATTGTAATCCAAAGACAGTTCAAGCAAATCTAGGTTGCAGAAATCCAAACTACCACTAAATGGCAATAGAAGGACACAGAAGCTTTGTGTCTTTGTTGCCATCTGATGGATGTTCAGATTTCTGCAACCCAGATTCAGTAACACTACCTAAAAAATAAGAGTGGTTTAGCCCATCCCATCAAAATGAATACATGCCATGTTCAGTAGGACTCAGTGCTGCCTTCCAGCCACATTCATAGTCAGCAAGGACACAGCCTTCTCCCCCTTAGCTCAAGTAGGTGTTTGGCTCCAGTCTCGGTTACAGATTTTCCCTTTCTGTGAGACAAAGTCCATAGCAGAAGAAAATAACTGAGCCTTCAGAATGAGGGGCAGAAGTCCCACGGCGAGGGATGGGCCACTGATAGCTCAGATAAAACCTGGTGAAGGCCTGCTCGGGGGGAAGGCACCTCGTGCAGGTGAGCCAGTTTCCAGGATTTCAAAGACATGTAGCTCTGTAGTACCACTTACATCAATGGTTCTCAAACTTGGCAACTTTAAAATGTGTGGACTTCAACTCCCAGAATTCCCAGCTGCTAAGGTTGGAAAACACTGACCTACATGGAACCTACAAGAAGAGCAGGCAGACATGCATACTCATCTTTTCCCTAAACATGTCCTAGTTGGAACCCAGATAGACTAGCTAAGGAACATTTCAGGGTTTATCACAGGCCCTGTAGTGCTTCTTTATACATCACAGCTGTGAAGTATTAGAAAGCTTAACAGATTTCATTCTAGCTATATCTCTACAAAAAAGATTGTGATTGGGTTAAGTCATGATAATGTTTTAAACGTGGTTTCCTAAATAATCACAATTGGTTGAGTTATTCCATTAAGCCATAGTCAGTGGGGGGATATCAAAGCCTTCTCCCCTGAATTCTCCTCTACTACAAGGCAATTAATGTCAACTGCCCTGGGAAAGGAGTTCAAAAAGTGTTTCTATGTTTGTTTACTTATATTTAAAAAAAACACATATTTGTCTTACTTTTATTCAGAATTATCTGTGTTGCTTGAAAGCCGCTTGGATAGGATTGGAAGGATTTAGAAATGGAGGGGATAAATAATTGCAATAAATGAATACACAAATGTTTGTGCTTCCATTTTTTAGTTTATATAACATTTATTCTATATTGTTGCTGTACATTAAATACCGCACTGTAGGTATTGTTTTACCTGTAAGGTTAAGGAGTTTTTTTCTAAACAGAAGGGTGGCACAGAGACTATCATCATCAGTCATGGCTGATAAACCTAGTCAATGTGGTTAGCTTAGAGTTCAGTGTATTGTGCAAACTCAGGCAATCAGGGTAATTCAGTTAATCATGGGTTAGCATGGTGTAGAAGCACGGCTAATATGTCGTGCTGAGTGGCTTATTTTAGCACAAGCTCTTTATACCAGAGCAGCTATATATCCCACAGATGACAGACCCTTCTCTGAACAGCTGTCAGAGACTCATGGTTGTTTTTATTTGTTTGCCCCCCAGAATGCTTTGGTGAATGGATGGTCATATAAATATCTTAAATAAATAAAGTATATGAAGACATATGTTATGTAAACGCTTCCCAACCCAAAGAATAAGGCGCTTGAATCTATAAGCAACTGCTGTCTTTCTGTTTCCATCCTATCTGGCAAATTACATTTGAGACATGTATTCATCTGGTAACAGCGGTGGCCCTTTCAAAACTCTGTGTATGCCCCTCCCATGTTAATTGCTGGTTGCCCACACGGTCTAGGTTCTTGTGTGCTTTTCTAGGATCTCTTTACCTGTCTGACGTAGACAGGAGGTGGAGGAGGATGCTCCTCTTCTTTCTCCAGTGACCTTCCCCCCATCCTAACAAGATCCCTTCATTGTGGTAACTTTGCTAAAACGGACACAGCCCAATGTACCAATTCCTGGTGACAAATTCAAATTTCCTGTCATTTGCTTTTCTCAAAAAAAGATTGTAAAAAGGATGACTGGATTTCCTACCACCATCACCAAAACTTTTACCTGTAATCTCTACATGAAAAAGTCAGTATGCATGGGTGATTGTTTCAATATTTAACTGGAAAGTTAAACACTTGTCTCAATACATTAGAGAGACTGCTAACCAAAATGGATAGGATTTCAATGGGATTATCAAGACTAACAGGATATATTTCACACCTGAAACAGGAGGGGAGAATGAAAGCCGCTTCATACAAATCTGCTCATTTTTAATGCGCTCCAGAAATGAAGCCTGGGGACAGGAAAATCTGCTGCCTACAGATAGTTGCTTTGTAGCATTTCAAAGCAAGGGCAGCTGGGGCCGGATGCCATGTACGTTATGGAAAGGGACAAGGCTGTTGAGAAAGACAAATGAACGAATCAGATGGTACGGAGCAGGGAAGAAGGAGGGGGAGAGAGCCTGAGGGCTAGAGGAGCAGAGTTAGAGGTGGGGACATCTTCATGGCTGGCACCCAACTCAATCTTGGGAGGAGGGAAGTTTGCCTAGTGAAGATTGGCTGCTGGCTCCCCACAAGAGGCTCCTTTGCAAACCTAGAGGGGGTGGTGCTAAATAGCCTGGAGCAGAGGCTTTAAGCGAATCCAGCTTCAGCTCCTTCCATCCCATTGATAGCGACAGATGAAAGGAGCCACTTGGAGAGAAGAGATTTGGTTTCCTGGGCATAGGCACCTGGTTTCCACAACAGGTACTGGCAGCTTGGTTTGGCTGGGATTAGGACGGAGCAGACAAGTTAGTTGCCAGTGGCATCTGTGGCAATTCAGTTCCACGTCCCCTTCTGCAGCGGAGACAGCACTATCTGTGAGCCATGATGCTACTCTATCAGTGGAATGTCCTGGATGCAGTGCTACTGGTTCTGGTGCAGGGCTGGGCACAGTCCATGAGTCAGGAGTATGATTACTACAGCTGGCCTTCTGATAACTTTCAGCATGGACGCTTCTATACCAAGCAACCACAGTGTGTAGACATCCCAGCTGACCTGCAGCTCTGCCACAATGTGGGTTACAAACGCATGCGCTTACCTAATCTGCTGGAGCATGAATCTATGCCTGAGGTCAAGCAGCAAGCCAGCAGCTGGGTACCTCTGCTGGCCAAGCGATGCCACTCAGACACACAAGTTTTCCTGTGCTCTCTATTTGCACCCGTCTGTCTGGACCAGCCCATCTATCCATGCCGTTCCTTATGTGAAGTTGTCCGTGATTCATGTGCACCTGTCATGGAATCCTATGGCTTCCCCTGGCCTGACATGCTCAACTGCAACAAATTTCCCTTTGACAACGACCTGTGCATCACAGTACAGTTTGGAAACAACCAAGCTACTCAGCCACCAGGTAACAGCATGGGGGGCAGGGGAGGTGGAAAAGAAAGAGTTAATAAAGCTAGACTGAACCATTCCCATGGAATCCCACTTTACAATACTCATTAGACTAGAGTTTCTAGAACAAAAAAATATTATGCATGCTTCAGTCTAGATCAGTGTTTCCCAGTGTCAGTGCTTCCAGATGTGTGGACTTCTATTACCAGACTTCTCAGCAATGACCATGCTGGCTGGGGAGTTCTAGGCTTGAAGTCAATACACCTAGAACTTGTCTTAGATTGCAAAACACTGGTCTAGACTCATACCCTCTCTCCTGGCTGCTGCATTTAGTGGAACTGCAAAAGAGCTACCCAAGCCCTGGAGAGCATTGCTTAGATTCTTTAGTAGCTGATGGACTGAGATGAGGATGGAATATGGACTAGGCTCAGACTTCGTTTCATCCCATGCCCATTGTTCATCTGGGCCTATTCCTGATCTAGTAGTGGCTAATAGCATCAAACCAAATACCTTCTTTTTACAGGCTCTTCATATTAGGCAACTTTTACAGACGTTTGCCACGCAACATTGTACCCACGTCATTGGTGTTTTTTTGTTTTTTCCCCTTGTATTATAAGTAAGAGCAGGACATTGCCTTCTGCTTCATTATCCTCAAGATTTACATTATCTGGGCTTTTCTTTCTCTCTTGCTATCTATTCTATATATTCCAGTACACTGTAGTTAAAGTGCGTGTTCACTACCAGTGCAAAACACAGTCTGTTACTACTCTCAGCCTAGCCTGATGTGTAATTTGTTCCTTCTAATGATTTCAAGGTTGCTGTACAGAGTTTCTTTTGCTCTGGAATATTATTTCCAAGCCCAATTACATAAGCTGTAGTGTCCATATAGGATAAAACGTCCATCATAATGTGACTTTTTCTCCAGTATGCTTCTTCTAGGAGTGCAAGCTTCTTCACTTAATGCACCCTGCAGGAGGTCTTCCTCTCAGGCATACAATTCTAGGAATCATTGCGGCAGCCTCTCTCCAAAGTTTCAGATCAATAAATACAACAAGGAGAGAGGGGTTCAGAGAGATTTCAGGACTAAAAAGAAATGTTTGCCCACACGCATGCATTCATGCCTCCTATCTACAAACAGCTGTTAGCAAATTCTTTGGCACAGCCGCCAGTTGGAGGCACTGTTTGATCAAAACGGAAAGCAGGCTAATTTCAAAGGTATTCAGATCCTAAAGCAAGCTGGAAAAAGAACACAGAAACTCCTAGCTTCTCTGCACCTGGACTTGGTGAGTACCAAATCTGGATCTGGTAAGAACCAGTCTACATCTGGGACTTGGTAAGCACCATTTTCCATGTGTTTCCACAAAAAGGCTTCTGAATTTAATCAAGAGTACTTATGGAGGCAGAGTATATTACTTTGCTCCCAAATATTACAGCATTCAGAGCATTTTTTATGAGAACACTTTCCTTGGACAAGAAGCAGATACAGCCAAGCTACTTCCTGTTAACCCTGAGCTTAGAATCAGAGCTCAGCAAACTCCAGCGCAGCTTCCAGTTCCAAGTCCTTTCGTTCCAAAATTGCTCTGCCACACAGCCTGTGTCTGATCTCTAAGACAGCCAGCGTGATTCAGAGCGCTTCCATCAACAAGCTCTGTTTTATTTTCCCTTTTTCATTTTTTTTAATAGCAAGAGAAAAAAACAATGGGAAAATACAGGAAAGTTAAAATGATTTTGAAACATCAGCACTAATCTCTCTCTGTCTCTCTGGCACACACACAGGTCCTATTCACACAACCTGCTAAACTGGATCAAGAAGTTAGCATGACACATAAATGCCTAAACTTAGCCAATGGGTGTGAAAGTTACAGAGGAGTATCTTTTGTCTAAGGCAATCCTGAAGCAGTTTCTGCCTGAGTTCACCTCCCACACCCCTGCTCCCCATCAGCTGTGTCCTCTGAACAAGACTGTAGAAGTTAATCCTCTGGCCTGACAGTCAGAAGACACCCACAATCCTTGTCTGCTCCTCTAGGTATACCATCTTTCTTTTCATTTTCTCTCTCACACATTCACACTGAGATACTGCAGCCATTTAGGGGAATGAAACAGGATCAGAAAGGAGTGGTTGAGTAAGCCCCCCCCTCCAGCTCACTATAAGGGTGCCAATCCAATCAGTCATGCGGAATTTTAGTATTTTTTAAAAAACCCACAAGAAGCTACTGTCCACCTGCCTGCTTTGTGGTGGCTGAAGGATGTCAGAATCACCATTCTGAGTTTGGCTGAGACATCAGTGCTACCAGTGCAGGGGGAATTTGGCCCAAGTCAGAAATTTCTCATGGGAACACGACCAGTGTGAAATATATTTGGAGATAATACATTTACCTAGCGAGGTGGCTTTATTATTAACATCCCTTTGCCTGTTATTTTTTTCTGTTTTGGTTCTCTTTCTATAGTTTTTAATTTTTTTAAATAATTACTACATAATGGTTTTACATAATGATTGTCTATATATTTATTGTTTTACAGTATTGGATTGTTGTATGCCCCCAGAGTCACTTTTTGTGAGGTGGGCAGCCATATAAATTTGATAAATAAATAATAATCTCTACTGACTCCCATCCCATTGGATACTTAGGAACAGCTAATCATGTATTCTAATGGGGCTTCTCCATAAATTGCTTCAAAGGGCATTGGAGACATTCTGCTTTTACTCCTTTCCTACTGTCATTTTTGGTCAGTAACTTGATTAATTCTCATAATGTTTGGCAGACTGAAGAGATCATTGCTAGCAAGGATCTTTATCTGCCTATTTGTAAAGCAAGTCATGTTTGGTGGTTGAGGCTGAGTCACATGATTGCAGAAAACAGAAGTAACAAAAAGGCTAAAGAAATAACATTCTCATGCAACATATTTCACATATCCAGGATATATCTTTAATTCAAGTCCACAGTATGGGTCCAACTTTAATTACAGTACATCTTTCTTAACGTGAGGTAACCAGAAAGATGTCACATTTCTTGTATTTTAATATTCATATAACAATACGAGCCTTAGCATATCCTATTTAATAAGCTGGAAGAAAACTAGACCTACTGATTTTTCCTATGTAAAAAAAAATCTGTCCTTCACTGCTTATTTTCTCTTGTTTTCCTCTTTCCCTTTCCCCTTTCCTCAGAACCATGCTAATGGTAGTGATTATGCAAACCTTCCTAGAGGATGGTGGAGTGTAATCCCCAGGGTAGCTGCTAGAGAGCAATGTCCTAATGCATCCCACCAAGACAACATAGGTTTGAGAACAGTACTCCCTTTCCTGCTCTCGTTCCCATTGTCTTGGTCCTCACTTATCCATTGAGTAGAATGCTGGGGGCTGTAGTGGGAAGGTATGGAAGAGGCAGGTAAAAACTAAATTCTATTTACATTAAACTTAAAATTTCATATAAACATGATTATTCCTTATATATAGTATTTAATCATCCCCATTAACTGTTATGTTAAAAAACACAATTCAGCAGCTGTACTGAGATGGTTCTCCAGGGAGGTGCATCCAAAGTATTGAAGACTAAGGTAACACTCTTTAGCCATAGGTTGGGCACAGATCTACAGCTCCCATTATCCAGTGCCCAACATCTGACTAGGATGATGGGAGTTTATACCTTGTACATCTGGATAACCCCAATTTGGGGAAGTGTTCTCTGATTAGTACTCCATCTTCTAACACTTCAAAAGAAAAACAGGTAATCATTTATATTGATAACAGTTCTATATTTTTTAGCCTTTACTTGAGATTTTTCCTCCAGAGAACTCAAACAGTTTGATTTTTTTTTTTATCAGATCTCCTTATTTATGAACTTCCTTCAGAGACAATGTATTTTGGTTTACCTAATACCTTTTAAACTCAATCCTTTATTGTAAAGACTTTTAATTCAAAAGTTAAGGAAATGAAATGGAAATCAACTGGGACAAAGATCCAAGTCTGTAAAATAAAAGACACTGGGAACTAAACACAGGAATAGCTGTATGAAAAAGTTTCTCTGAAATGTATTCCTACCCCCACTCTTTCCAATAAGAAGTTCCTATCTGGATAGCTGAACTCTACATTTTCTGCTTGTTCAGGATATTTCATGACAATTAAAAAGTTCATAGCAAGTTCATTGGGAAATCACCATCATCACTTGAAATCATTTGCCTATGAAATTAGAGCCAGGAATCTACAGGGTGAAATGCTAAATGTGTCCAATTTTTTCTGAGCTCACATTCACTCTTTTTCCATCTTACAGTGTCACAGATCTGCACCCAGTGCGAGATGGAACACAAAGCGGATGGCATCATGGAGCAGATGTGTTCCAGTGACTTTGGTAAATCATGCACCCAAAGCAGCTGGGAAGGGGTCTGGGAGGAGCAGCTGTTGGGAATATGCCATATATTTTTTATTCTTTCTTCCCTTTCTCTGCTTGAGCTCCACCTTTTTCCATCAGATCCTTCAGCAGCTTCCAGATTGTTTCTGGGATCAAATCAATATGATTTTTTGCCTACAGTAGCCCTAAATTCTGACTCCAGGAAAAAGACTTTGTCTGAACCTATGGAAACCCATCTCAACTCTCAATAGACTAAAAGACCGAATCAGGATAGTTTCCTACATTTCTAAGTGACATCTCTTGTCACTTGAGTCTGCTTGACTTATATGAAGGTAACTTCCAACACCTTTGAATATTCTCACATCTGAAATACAAAGAGTTTTAATAACAGCCTGATCATAAAATTCATCTTCTGAAGACAATCACCAGGCACTAATAATAGTGCCTGGTGACTGGCTACATTCTAGTGCTTAAAGTATTGAATTTGGGCTGTAGAGATTATGGTCCATATTCCCATTTCTCTACCAACCAACCTAGTGACTAGTCACTATCTCCCCTCAGACAGTTGTGAGGATGAAATGGAAAGGAAGGAGTTTAAAAATTTAATCAAACAGGTTGAAGCAATCTGGTTTTTAAAAAGTAATATTCATCCCCTATAATTATCAGCATTTCTAGTGCTTTTTTATTTTTTATTTTCTTAATTTTGTGGTGCTCCATTTAAAAGGGTACATCATTTATTTGCTGCTTTGAATACTCCATGTACAGCAGCCAGGGTATACATTTTTAAAATAATCATAATAAAATAATCATGATGTAGTTATGGCAAGTTCAATCTTATAAAGAATGAGATCAGTCAGATACTTAGAATAATCATTCTAGGCAAACATAAGACTGAGAATAGCCGTGGTTAAAGATGACAGGTTTTTCCTTATCAAGGAACTACTATATAGGAAGCAAGCTGGTGCCAGCAGCAAAACAGTTTACTCCAATGCAGAAAATGACACATTTCACACCCTCAGTGGAGTGAGCTCTTCCAGTACACAGAATGAGGCAGCTGCTTTATGCAGGAAATTGTGTCATGAAAGGAGAGCAGTTGATTGCCACAAGGGGAGGTGGAGGTATATGCAGAAAGAGATGTGCTTGCAGAGTATTCTACTTTTGGTACCAAATTAAGGTTGTCAGCCTTGAATCTTACTCAGTTTGACATGGGGAGGAGCACCAATTTCCTTCCCCTTCCCCAAATCCAAAATAGCTCTTTTTTACTTTAGATTTCATTTCAAAAACACAATTTATAACATTCCTATAAATTTTTCCAAGGAGTCATATCTGATAAGTTGTCATATATCAATACCTGGACCTTCCTTTATTTCCAGACCATACAAGCTTACAACAAAGTGCTCCCAAAGTAGCACTCCCCCCCCCCCAAACATATAACCAAATTTGCTCATTCACTTTTGATGATCCGTCTCTTGTGCCCTCTGGTAGCTCTGTTCACATGTGATATTCCATTAGAAACAATCTATGCCAAGTCAGCCAAAGAATTCCCCTCACATGGGAAAATCAAAAGATGAAAACAGTGGTACATGAATACAACTGCAGTAATTCCCATGAATGTTGTATCTGCATTAAATGCTGCTGTGCTCTATAAAATTCTTTTAACAACTCAAACACCACCTGAGTTCAGACTGTAAAAGGAAGAAGTACTGGATGACCTGTACCTTTTCCAGATACTCTCACTACTGAAACCATAACAGACTTCATAGGTGACCAGTGTGACCATAGCTTAACAGCTGGTGGCTTGGCCTTAGAGCAAACAGACATCTATTACGTGCAAAAAAGGTAGTCAATAAGAAAATGTGACAAAAGATGAGTAAATCACTCCCATTTATTCATGCAGCTTTGACTTGTCTGACATCTACTACCTTTTGTCTTCCTCTGCCAGCATTTTAAAAAGGCCAGATTTGAAACTGTTAAAATCAAAGGAACTATACCCACTGACTCTATAATTCATATACTTCTATCTCCTTCTCTAGTTCTCCCTTCACTGACATCACTCCTTAGTCTGTAAATCCTTAATGCAATTTATCTATCCTGTCTTCCACAGTGGTGAAGATGCGCATCAAGGAGATCAAGAAGGAAAATGGGGAGAGGCGATTAGTGGCCACTCAAAAGAAAAAAAAACTGCTCAAAGTGGGGCCACTGAAACGCAAGGACACCAAAAAGCTGGTGCTGCATATGAAGAATGCAGGCACATGTCCTTGTCCTCAGCTTGATGACCTCAGTGGCAGCTTTCTGGTTATGGGTCGAAAAGTGGGTGGGAGACTGCTAGTCTTGGCCATTTACCGCTGGGAGAAGAACAACAAGGAGATGAAATTTGCTGTCAAGTTCATGTTCTCTTATCCATGTTCCATGCACTATCCATTCTTTTATGGATCAGACCCCCACTGAATGCCCCCCCCTCACAAATATCCTTCTTCTGTGGGCAGGCTGACATTAAGATGCAAGTTGTTAGAGCCCATCCTTCCAACAATTTGGTTTTCCACAGGACAACTTGGATTTAATTAAAAATCTTCATAAGAATTCTGCCCATTGTTGATACTCATCTCACTTCAGAGAGCTTACAGAAATGCCTCCTTATCCTCAATACACCATCAGCTGCCAAATAAGAACAGTCTTTGTGGCTGTGAGCAATAACATCATCAGGCCCAGTGTATCCTCCCTTCATCAGTATCTGAATTGTTCAGTATTTTAATGGGAACATATAATTAAACTGGAACATTTAAAATAAATTTCTCCATTTTCAATTCCTTCTAATAAAAAGTCTTAAAATGCATAAATATTATGATCAGGAAATCCATGTTTAATGAGCCATTCATTTATACATTCTTTTCAACCTACTCTAAAGCAACTTATTACATTATTTTTTAACAATAGTCCAGGAATGAAGTTCCAAGTATGGTAGATCATCCTATTTTCACGTGCTTGAAGAAATACATGTTGATCAAACTAGGACTCCACTAAGACTGGCCAAATTTTGGCCTTCTTTAATTCCAACCCCAACTTCCACTTCTAGCTTTCTTCCAGACCAAACAGAATTTCAAGCAGAGATTGAGCAAAATTTCTCCAAGATGGTGCTAGAGGACAGTCAGTACTTTTGAGTTAAAGTGACTCTTTATCCATAATTTCACATACATACATCCTTGCCATTACCAGCTCTATGCTGAATCATGTGGGCATGTGTTAAGGCAGAGTTGCTGGATATGGTTTTGGAACTATTTCTAATATTACTCTAGAGGATGGCATTGTGTCTTATGTCCAAAAAACAGAGCAAGAGGCATCCAGATTATCCATGATCAATTATACTGGGGAGGGGATGACTATCCCAAATTTATGGGGAATACCACTGAAAAATATACCCGTTGGCTTCCTTGTTCTTTCAGTCTTTTCCCTACCACTTCCCACATTACCTACCTAGAGACTGCTGAAAATTTTGCACCTATTATGTGCCGATACTAAAGCAACAAATATTCCTGTGTGGAACCTCAAGGAAGGATGCCAAATCAACCAGGCCTGTCCACGTGCAGGATGCCAGACTACCAAGAGACAAGGCAGATGGCAAACAGGGTGGGGTTGTCTTCCTCATCTCTTCCAGCTGGACACAGAAATACGTACATAGCATTAGCACTGCTGGGGGACAAGAGAACTGCCTAAGACAAAGCAAATGGAGGGGAGTAATCCTGGCTTGCACACAGATAAATTTTTCAAAGGGACTTACTCCTAGCCAAAACTTGCAGGGAAGAGAGAAGAGAGTGGCTAAGAAGATATCTTCCAGTCAGGAAAAAAACTGTCTCAGATACTCTATAGCAGTGTTTCTCAATCTCAGCACTTCTAAGATATGTGGACTTTAAGATGTGGAAGTCTGCAAAGTTTACATCTCTCTTACATGACACACACATGCACATTGTGGAGATCAAGACTGCTGGCTGCTATCATTGTTGCCGCAACTCTTAAATATTTGTCTATAATAGGTGAATTTTTGTAGGTGAAGAAATGGACATCCCTGAAGTTTTAGAACAAAAATTGGGGGGGGGGGGCGGAGGGAAGGAAGGAAAGAGAAAGATATGCAGAAGAGAAAGAGTAATTTGCAGCAGACAGAATTTGAAAAAATAGCACTTTGAGAGTTATCTCTTAAGAATCAGTTGTGTAAGAAAAGAGCATTATATTGCACTGACCCTGAATATTTCTAATAAGTTGCAGGAGTCTATATCTTAGTTTGCCTTCCATCCATGTCTTTTCTTTCACTTTCTTTTTCCCTAGAAAGTCTTTATCTTTGGGGTTATATGCTGCCACTGCAAGCAACAGTAGCAACAGTATTGGTGGCTTGGTTTCAATTCTCCATCCTCCATTGTACCCCAGACCTAATGCTGTGCCAGAACCTGGGATTGCCTCCAAAGATACGATATTTTGGAGTGATGAGGGCTTTTAGTTCCTAAATCTTCAGATTTAACTACTTCTAATGTAATCTGTAATATTCCTTGCAAGGTGGTAACTATTTGCTAATTAAATGAAGAAAATGAAAATACAATTGTTAAAAACTGACAAAACACACTTCCCCATTTAAGCTTCACAACTAGCATTTCTTAATTGCATTAATTGTGTACAGTATCCCCTACATATCATCTGCAACTTTCAACCACCAACAAGGAAGCATCTCATAATTCCATCTATAATGATCTTTGAAAGACTGATCAGGTCTTTCCCTCATAAAGTCATCTCAAACACACACACACACACACACACACAATTCTGAAAGTTGGAAGCATAAAGGTTTTGCTGACACAACAGCACAGCTCTGGAATTCCCTTTGTTCAACCTTCTCTATCAATTACTACCTTTGTCTCATTCTTCTTCAAAACATCCTCTTAAATCATGCTACAACTTACATCTATTCTTGTAAACAAAACCTCTTCATTCCGCTCTCAGACTATGTAACACAAACTCTTTTAAAAAGTCAATTCTCCCTCTCCAAAGAAAAGTTATGGAAAAAGTATCCTACTCACAAACACCACCAGTTATTATCCCATAAATTATGTCTTCTGATTTATAGTTCCTCTACAACAGTTTAGGGCTGGTTTCTACTAAATCTGCCAGTGTGAGACCCATATTTGCTTAAAGACATGGGAGCAATAGAGCCCTGCTTTATGCAATAACATTTATCATTTCTATACATCAGACCACAGAAGTTAGCCTCTTTAATAGAATTAAGATGAAGCATTACTATTGTGCATTTACATGCCACCTCCATCCTAGAATTTAATTTCAGTTCCTCAGAATCAAGCTTTGAATTCAACAAGGGGTTCTCTGTATAAATGTCTTTATGATTTTATTGTTAATTAAGTATTCATAAGAAACTTATTTTTATTATTGTAATTGATCTTCACTGAGTTAGAAGTATTTAGCTCCTCTGAGATTAGCAAAATCTCTCATAACTAACTTCTAGCACCAATCTAAGTTACAACATACTGGTTTCTGAAATCAACATTATGCTGATTAACCCTATCATCATTATGCTTAAAGTATTATTAATCCTTCAAATAATAGCAGACTTGGACTATAATTATAACACTTCATGGTTTCGGTCTCATCTATCCAACCCTGGCACTTATTTTTAAGTAAAGTTACATTTTGGAAAAAGGAATGCTTCAACCAAATTCCAATTCTAACTTGCTGGGAAAAAAACACTAGCTATTACTCTAGCTATTTTCTCAACTTTACCAATGATGAATACTTTTGCATTCAAGGGAGAAAAAGTACAGACTTCATCAAGTTAATTTACTTTTAAAATTACCCTTTAAATTTTTAACTTGAGAGCAATAGGCAAAATGACACCATTTTTAATGTGAAAAAGCTATTAAGCCACACAAGAAATGCCCTGGAGCTGGCTGAGACCTCAAGGCCTCACTCTGTAACAGCTCTGACCCTGACCTCTGCCCCCTTCAGCACCCACTATGATTAGTTTCTCTGACTCTTCAGTGTGGCCAGCAGCAGCACTGTTTCCTTATATTTCCAGTCAAATGACAATTAATAAATATAGTAATAAAAGCTTTACATTACCTTAGCAAGAGGATTTGGCAACAACTATCAGGATACAGTAAACTGACCTACCCCAGGGCAGTTTTATATGTGCAGTTTGGAGCAGGGGGAGGAGAGGAGTTCCTCATTTGGTCAAGTTTTAAAAACTCATACTGTATCAGTGACACAGGAAATTATTAGAAATATTGTATGAGTGGTGTACAAAGTCTTAAGTAATATATTATTACTGCTGTATTTTTACTTACACAGACCTCATTTCTCCAGTAGCCTACTAATCAATTTTTAAATGCTGATAGGAGGGTGGGATGAATAGATCTATTCACCTCTTCTATAAATTAACAATCTAAAGCCTAATTAAAAGTGCTACTGGTGGGACTTACTTCACAAATGTGTTTTATAGACACCAAAGTCTCAGGTGTTTTTGTCATTTTAAAAGATGGCAGGAAGTAGACAGGAAGTTTTAATTTTTATACAATTCATAACCCATGTTTCTCATGGGAGCTCGCATCTGCACAGAGACCCCTCTCATGGGAGCTCCTAGGCTCCTGCTTGCACCACACATTACATATTAAAAAAATAATACGTTACAATTGGGAAACTGGCATTATAAAGAAAAATGCCAACCTTCAGCATCATCTTTATGATACTGCTCTTCAGAACTTCACCTGGAAATAGCCACCTCTCCAGAAAAAGGTTAGCAGAAGCAGCAGAGAACCAGGAGTATGTGAGAGAAGCAGAGAGGAGGGAGCATCCTAATGACCTGGAGCCATGTAATAGCTATGTCCCCCAAGGCAGCCAAAATCCTTTCTCCCACCCCAACAGTTATTTTAAATGAGCATCCACAACTCAAAATTCCAAATGATCCAAGCAACTCAAAAATGTTGGGAGTCCCTAATTTACTGTGAAGATTTATAAAATGTCACTTCACAACTCAAAGAATCCACCTAGTCCTGGAATATATTTTTAGCAGATGCCTTTGATGATATGTACAACTGTCCACAATCAGAAGAGGGAAATTCAGTTTATCTATTAAATCAAAAGTACAGTGTTCTAAATCTATTTCCAGACTGTTTTTGTATCTATGTTCCTAATGTCCCCAAAGCAAAAGGCATTCTCAGTTGTATTTCCATCAGGCATACTCAATACCTCACCATGGTTGAGTCTCAAAGGGACTGTCCAAGATACTGCCAGCTCCACAAAACACTTCCTCTTGGCATTTGGGATTACATCTGTTATGCTCCATCTCATATTCCACATGCTTCAGCACATTATAGACACATTTGTCTGTTTTTTTGAGACCACCATATCCTGTATGTCCCAATGAACTACTCCCATTCTGTTATTCCCCATCACACATCCTATGTTCCATTGTTCTATCTGTATGCTAATGCTCTTCTTCCAGAAATGTGTATCCATAGCAGGGATCCTGCTATATCACCCCTCTAGCCCTCACAGCAATAAAAATTACTTCAGACTCTGAAAATGTTGGCTTTACTACCCAAGGATACTGTTTATTGTTAGGATATTTATTACTCTGCAATAGTCCAAAAACATTCCACTTCTGTAGAAGGGATCCACCTCCTGAGGAAGCTCCCTGTCTTTCAGTTAGGCTTTGCTTTAGCAAGAACTCTGATTAACTACAGCAGCCTCTGTCTTCTAACAATGCAGGGATGAAAAGCACACATTTTCCAGATCCTAGTTTGACCATGCTAAGGAGCTGTAGCTAAAAACTAAGAAAAGCAAAGTCAGTGGCATGGAGGTGGGGAAGGGAGAGAAACATTGTCCTCACCTGGGATAGGGAGAAAAAGTAGATCCAGCTACATCACTGGTTGGACAACAACAGTTGGTCCTCTTGGCACTGCAAAGCCTGCTCTCAGAGCCAACTATAAACATCATCTGAAGGAAGACCCAGCCTCCATTTCAGAACACACACACACACACACACACACACAGAGGGATGGCACCTTAGCAACAGTAGAACACATACTTTGAGAGGTTTGAGGAGTCCAAATGCCAAGAGTGACTTTGCAAAAATGAGGACAGCCAACCTCCTGTCAGCCAAGCTCCAGAAAAAAATTGGGGCCACAGACTAGAAAAGAAATGTTTGCTCTTGGATTTGGGAGGAGGGAAGGAAGCCTACAGTAGTTTAGTGCATAAAGAATTCTCCACACAATCAGGATTGCAGGAACCTCCTCAGTTGCTTACAAGAAAGAGAGCGGGAGCACACAGAGCAGTCAGCAGGTTAGATGTGCTGGCCCCCTCCTATTACAAGTATAGGGAGGAAGAAAAGAAGCAGTGCGGTTGCTTGACTCCCTCCAAGTAGCAGCTAGTGTAGTGTAAGATCCACAGCAGATTCATCTGAAGACTGGATTCCATACTGGCGTCTCACTTGGTGAGTGCTTGGTTACACTGCCCACATACGAAGACCGTCTCCCGCTGGGCATCAGGAGCTGCAATTAAAAACACCAGTTGGAATTTCAGGACTAACCAAAGCTCATGCAGCTTCCCACCCACTACACCTTTCCAGGCATATCCTCAGAATATCTACTGTCTTCCCACTACAGCAGGTCAGGATTTCCCCGATCAACAATGGGAGAGGCAAACATCCACCCGCAGGACTTTTACTTAAATCAGTGTTG